GCACGAGGCTTTGACAGATGGTCGGGACGGACTCGAGCCGCGTTCGAAGTATTGAACAAATCACGAAGCGAGAACTTTCCGGATTTTGTTTACTACGTAACAGTGATATTTTTAAGAAAAACGCTGTCCACCTTTACTTTAGTACGTCTGAAGAATATTTACTAATTTTTCGGACCCGAAATATTATGACGGCCGTTTTAATTTTCTAGCGTGCATGACACTTTGTGTGTAACCTTGACATTTCAAGGTCAACATATGAAATTTTTAAGCAAGGTGTACAGTGAAGATTAACAAAGTACGTAAATGATATTTTAATTTAAATAATTCCGTGTCCGAACACAGTTCAACGAATGATTCGCAAAGCTAATTTAATAAATAATAATCGTGTTAACGGACGTAAGGGATATGTTTGTTTAGAGAAATATGAAGAATATTATCAATAACCTTGACATAACCTTGATATGTCAAGGTTATGTCAAGGACATATCAAGGCTATATCAAGGTTATGTCAAGGACATATCAAGGCTATATCAAGGTTATGTCAAGGACATACCAAGGAAGTTACTTCAAATGACCTCATCTACCCCATATTTTTGGCTGTTAAAATAATTGTGGAACACCCTGTATACAGAATTATGGTATGGTAGAATTATGCTTACCCCAAAATTATGGCACGTCCGGGAAATGAGGGGTTCCTGAGGTCATTCGAAGCAACTTTTCCCTTAGCGAAAATTGCAATCCGCAGCTTCGTTTACGAATTATTCACGGAAAACATTGACCAATGAGAGGCGAGCTCGCCTAGCGCTAGGCAGTCGAGCCAATCATCGGAACTGGGCTTCCCCCACTCGTTGGCTCGGCCTCACGCGCTAGCTGAGGTGATGATCTCAGGAACCCCTCATTTCCTGGAAGCACCATAATTTTTGGATACCCTGTATATATACAGTTGCGGACAAAATTGAGTGGGCAGACACGCACAGTGGAAATGGTTATAAATAAAAAATTTAGTTGAACTAGTATTATTACTATACACACAAGTTGGCGACCGAGCCAATGAGCGGAACTGGGCTTCGCGCGCTGGTTGGCTGGGCCGCCTCGCGTCGGCCGTACTCGATTCTTATTGGTCACTGTTTCTCGTTAATAACTCGTTAACGGCGCCTCGTAGAAAATTTTTGTAGAGGAAAAAGTTGCTTCGAATGATCCGAGGAACCCGCCACTTTCGGATTGCGAGACATTTTTGGGACACCCTGTATAATATAACAAATATAGAAATATGTATACAGTTTCACTTGAAGAATATAAATCAGTCTTTTACTTACCATAATATTTGCCTCTTTGAATCAAATTCACAATGCTTTTCTGTAACTCTGCATTCTTTCGAAGATCCACTTGTTATGTCAGTTGTACATATTTTTTTCTACGGTTAAAGGATTTCAAACGTCTTGTCTCGATCGGGAAAATTGCTTTTATGTTTCAGATCTTAAAAAGGTCGATGGGTTACATTTCTGTATTGTACACAATGCAGAACAAATAGAAGAAATCATTTTAAAAATGCCGTTCCGTTTTGCTATGTTTCTGTTCTCCACAGTCCAAAGGAAATTCGGAACACTAAGAATCAATTGCGTTAGACACACGTTCATATAGAATTGTATTTAACGTAAAATAAAGTACACACCGCGACAAAACTATAAGACAATCCTGAATTTCTAGTGTTTCTTAAAACCAATGTGCGTTTCTCGCACAGTTGTTGATTTTGAACGATCACCGGGGTTCCTTTTAACGTATCTTTCTTTATTTTTTAAACAGTTATGAATTGTACAATGACTTCTCCTTAATTGTATAGGCAATTTTTTGCACACTGAATAGTTTTCCTTCTTTAAATTGTTAA